AATGCACGAAATAATTATTTCTTGTGCTTGTTTAATAGCAAGTTACGCCTTGTTAAATGGTATAAGCAAAGAAAGGGCATCCTTCAGTTTTAAAGTCGCTAATTATGAGCTTTTTTACAATTGTGAGGTGTTTATTCATAATACATCGAATCCGCCAACTTATTAATGCTGCCTATACTGCACAAAATATGTTTCACATCTATTTTAATATATTATGACAACTATGTGACTTCTTCCTTAAACTATGAGCGAAAGCTTACTTTTCCTTAAACAGAATGTACACGGTGCGCAGTTTCTAAACCTCGAACTCGAGTGTAGCAGTCACTAGGTTAGAAGATTATTCGGCCATTGGGCAACTTTTTTTGAAACCGAAAGCTACTCTCTCTTTGAGTATAAATTTTAAAGAAGGCTTAATTTTCTACCAAACAAGTGAGATAAATAATTTCTTTGTGCATGTTTTCCATAAAATATGTTTGAAATTATAGGAAGAGTCAAAATAAATGATAAAAGGCATACTACTTAAGTAGCCAGTTTTTACAATAGATACAGTTTGCTGGTAGTCAGAACGACACTCGTTAAAAAGCTCGTATCCTATCATGGCGGAATAAACTTCAGAATAGACTACACGATAATCGGTATTACAACCTGAGTCAATACCGATTAGCGAAAGAGTATCAAGCTTTTGCCTGTGTCGAAATGTTGCGTGATCTCTGGCGTCTACTGTATAATGCCAACACAAAACCCTACTAAGCAGGCCATAATGTCAATAGACACGGAAAGGTCTCGTTAGACACAGCGGGTACAGTGCACTTTCAGGACGACCAAGTTGCCTCTCGTCACAGAAAATATCACCATTACCGCTACCATTAGCAACACAGTGAGGAAACCCCTACTATTCCATCCCGATTACAGGACGGAAATGGGCATTTCCGAATCGCTTTCGGTTCAATAGTTAAAATGCTGAGGAACTCCAACATTGATATCTGTGCACAATTGTGAGCTTACCGGCGCCTACTAAAGTGGCAGCTCGATTGGAAACAGATGTGCAAACATGTCGAACGATTTTTAAGTGCTCAGATCGGAACTGGGAGAGCTGAAAGGCATCGCGTAGGACGTACTCCGTACTGTAGAAGAGGTGCGGGGGATCTCTAAAAACGTACAAAAAGTTTTCTCTTTCATATAACTCATAAGAGAAAAGTATATGGAAGTTCGGTATCACAATCTAAGCCCTTTTATCACTCCAAGGGTGTAATTAATCAAGATGTCCGACATAAGGCAGAGGTTAGGCATTTATTTATCACAAGGGCAACTTGCAGTAGCAGATCGACCGAATAAACTGCTTTGAGAATACCATTGCAAGCATGTGATCGCAGAGAATAAGTGATGCCAAATTAAATTATATGACAACGCTTTGGCTTGGTTCTATGATCTGCCAAACGTCCAGAATCCATGTATCCCACTGCGGCCAAGCGTTGTGCTAAAATGGACTTCTGCCTGTAAGTTGAACGAGTGGAGGTACTCAAAACTGAAGTTCCTCCAAGACAATTCGACAACGCCAGTTCGATCAGTCTATAAATTCCTCATGAGAAGGTTCAATTGGACAAACTCCTGGTCACTTCCGATGTGACTTGGTTATTCACATCTATCATGCTGAGTTTGACAAAGGACGTTTTTCGCAAGAGACGCAAACGAGTAAAGTTTACTGTCCTGTCCTGTGAGGAAATCAAGGGCAGTCCAATGGACATCCCGATTTCCAGTTAAATGGCAGAAATGGTTATAAAGAAGCTAGAAAATACTCTTCCCCCCAGCACGAGCCGGTCTTTTGGCGCCGTTACGTTGATGACAAGTTGGTCACCTTTAGGGAAAAAATATTGCAAAACTTCCATAACTTCCTAACCGGAACTTTTACGGATATTAAATTCGTGAGGGGAAGAAGAATAAGGGCCGCAGCCTTGT